TGATATTTTTGTGGGGGGCATTTGTGTAGGGTTAGAGGGTAACTTTGCAGTCTTTTGTCTCCTTCTACCTTTATATGGTTTTCAGAAAATGAACTCTGGTGGTCATCCTTTTGAGGCAAGAGCCTTTACCTATTGACCATTGTAAAGATATTTTTTAATTTGCCTATTATTGTCATCTCTGAGGTTCTCAGTCTGCTAACTTATGCCTAGGCCTGGAAGCTTCTAGCCTTCCTACAATCTTATCTAGGCCTAGAATGTTTTCAGCTTCTGAGACTTACTGCTGAATAAGCTCACCCTTTCCTTTTCTTTCTGAACTCTTGCTGGCTGGTTCAACTCAACTGTTCTGGATCAAACTCTTTTCCTGCTGACTAATTCAATCTGGATTCTCTCCAAATGAATTGCTCTAATTGGCCTCAAGATAACTCTAACAAATCTGTCCTGATCTCCTGGATCCTTCTTATTCTCTAGCTTGTTCTGTCTTCACCTATTGTATTCACCTGGTTTTCTCTTCAACCTGTCTTTGTAAAACTCTCCTGGTATGTAAAACTTCCTCTCTCCTTTCTCTTCTCTTCTCTTCTCTTCTCTTCTCTTCTCTTCTCTTCTCTTCTCTTCTCTTCTCTTCTCTTCTCTTCTTCCTCCCTCCCCTCTCTCTCTCCCTCCCTCCCTCCCTCCCCTCCCCTCCCTCCCTCCCCTTCCCTCCCTCCCCACTTCTCTCTTCCTCTCTCTCTTTCTCTCTGCCTTGTTTTCCTAAGTCATCTCTCCTTCCTAGCTCTTCTCCCGTGAATTGGGCGTATACTATCCCACTTTGCCTCTCAATTAGAAGTCACTTCCAAACATGGCTGCTTCCTTCATTGTTTGGGATTAAAGGTGTGTACTAAGGGTGTGTCTGTATTCCAGCTAGAGCAGTCATGTTCTGGATGAAAATTCCTTTACAGACCATCTCACTGGCCCCCAAATATTTTAAAACAGCATTTACTGAAGTATAATTTAGCTATGTTATCATAAGCTAGGCTGCACAAGCTTATCATTTGATAAATTTTGCCTAATATTTATATCTGTGAAGTGATTATCATAAGAACTTAATGAGCTTATACTAAAGATTTTTTATAGCATTCTTTCTGAAATTCCTTGATGATCTATATTTTCCTCCTCTTTTCTTTTTTCAGGATATTACTGGTTATTATTTGACATTGTAGATGAGTTTACAATTTAAGCATCTTTATATGTTAATCGAAATAAACACAATGCATTCTCACTTATCTGGTCTTTATCCATGTTGTTCCTTGCATCAGTTGGATGTTTGAATTTATTGCTGCATGTTCTGTTTTTTGATATCCCATAATTATCTTTCTCTTAATAGATATATGAGGGGTTTCAACTCATGTTTAAATAAAATTGCTATGAACATTTGTGTACAAGTTGTGTCAACATATTTCATTTTTGAGTAATGTGGCAGACTGATTCCAAGATAACATGTCATCCATGCCATTTGATAAGTCTCTATCCTGTAAGTGTGGGTAGGCTATGACTTGCTCCTAAGCAAAATGACGGCAAGAGGTTGATATACATAGTTGCATGTACATTATTGAACAGGGTCAAGTCTGTCATAATGTCAGACATTGTGTCCTTTGGTGTCCTCAAGAAGCAGAAGTGCTGATGCTCATGTCTCATTGGCTGCTTCTTGTTTGTTTGTTTTTCTTTTTTTTTAAGATTTATTTATTTATTATATATGAGTACACTGTAGCTGTCTTCAGACACAGCAGAAGAGGGCATCAGATCTCATTACAGATGGTTGTGAGCCACCATGTGGTTGCTGGGATTTGAACTCAGAACCTCTGGAAGTACAGTCAGTGCTCTTAACCACTGAGCCATCTCTCCAGCCCATTTGTTTGTTTTTCAAGACAGGGTTTCTCTGTGTAGCTCTGGAGATCAGGCTGCCTCTGCCTCCTGAGTGCTGGGTTTAAAAGCATGCTCCACCACTGCCCAGATGGCTAGGCTTCGTTGTCAATTGGACAGAATCTGGAATCACCTAGAAAGCCAGCATCTGGGTATGACTGTGAGTGGTTATTTATATTAGCTACCATGTGCTCTGCAGTGTGTCCTTCCAGAAATGAACCTCTTTAAAATAGAAAGCCCATCTAAGGCACACCCTGATTTTTAAGTGACAGAAATTGTGAGATAATAAGTGTATATTGTTACATATTACTTATTTATGATAATGATGTTATGAAGAAGTGAATACAAACAAATCTACCAGTGATGGTTGGGTCATACCAGAGGTATATATTTAACTTTGTAAGAAACTCTCAAACTGTTTTGCCATTTAGCCTATATCTGTCTGCAATGTGCAAGAGTCCTAGTTGCCTCTTTATCTTGCTACTGTTTAGCATAAGCTAGCCTATTTCAGTTTTAACTACTCTATCAAGAACACTGAGCATTCCAGTGGCTTTGGTTTGCACTTTCTTAAGGCAGCTGCTGTGCCTCTCTCTGTGTGGTTTTTCAGTTCTGTTACTGCATTTGACATTTGGCAGTTAGTTCTCAAGTACATTGACTGTCTATAGGTTTTTGACTATGATAACAGGGATGTAAGTTACCAAAGTATGGAGCTTGTTTTGTGAATCATCTTCATTATGCTTTCTGGACAAATGCATATGGATATGATCTGGAAAATTCCTGTGGCTGGATGGCTTTATTGAGACAGGTATCAATGTGCATATCTAGAGCACCCATATCCTTCATGGCAAATTCCTGATTTCTTTGAGTGCCCAAGGGTCATGCTTCTCAAAGCCCACTCTATGAATGCATTTGTTGATGTATTTTCAGGTCACCACTTTGTTGATGGCATGTCCCCTTTTGTCACCATTCTTCTACGTAGGAGCCATTCTTCAGGGCCTAAGTTGGAAGGGCTTCATGTGTTTCTTTGGTGAAAATCTCTTCATTTCCATTTTTTTGTCCCACAATGTTGTTTGTCTTATAACTCTTGCATGGTAAAGAATTCGTGTGTGTGTGTGTGTGTGTGTGTGTGTGTGTGTGTGTGTGATCTACAAAAGCTTTGCCACACTTTAGGACACTCATTACTAATTTGTTTAAAAGGAGGGTATAGGGGACAGCTGGTAAGATACCTTATCAGGACAGATGCTTGCTCTCAAGCTTGATGACCTGCATTTAATTCCTGGGACTCACATGGTGGAAGGAAAAAACTGACACCCATAGGTTATTCTATGACCTTTGTGCCATGCACATTCACACTATATAAATTTAATTAAAAACACAAGGTATGGGCTGGAGAGATGGCTCAGCGGTTAAGAGCACTGACTGCTCTTCCAGAGGTCCTGAGTTCAAATCCCAGCAACCACATGGTGGCTCACAACCATCCGTAATGAGATTGTATGCCCTCTTCTGGTGTGTCTGAAGACAGCTACAGTGTACTCATAAATAAAATAAATAAATCTTTAAAAAAAAAAAACACAAGGTATAAATTTCCCTTGTGAAGGTAGCATAAATATCTTCTTTCTTCCATTCCAGATAAGGGGGGAGGCTGACATGCAGAGGACTCTACAGAAGTACACTGTTCTAAACCTCGTGTCACTTCATCAGAAAGAGTTGGGAGATTTTTTTGTGTGCATAAATTATACACAGAGAAAAGCTAGCTGAGAGCCAGCAGTCTATTTCTTCTCTCTGCACATGACTTCAGACATGATACCTTCTAGTCCAGCCTTGACTTCCCTGTGGAATTGTAAGCCAAATAAAATTTTCCTTCTCAGTGAGCAGGGCATCTGTCAGGGCATTTCATCACAGCAAAAGAAAAGCAATGGATGAGTCATGTGAATTCACCTCTCAGTCATTCACACAGCTGGGCCTGTGTATTGAGGACCAGTCTGCCAGGCACTGTGCCAGGTGCCGAGGACAGTGCTCCTGCCCTTACGTTGCTTACAGTTGGTAGTGATGGACAGTAAATGCACAAGAAAATAAATATGCAGGGCAACTTTTCTCAGTCCAGCTCAGTAATGAGGGGAGATATGCTGGAGATGATATGCTTTTAATAGGGTCTCTGGGGTTTCCTTAGGAAACAGAAAAATGAGGGGTGAACTGGATACTGAGTGAAAAAATGAGGGCGTGACTGTTCCTAGGCATTGTTGAAGAGGTTTATTATAGATGTGATGGAGAAAACAGCTAGAGGCATCTGGAAGAGGAAGGATTCAGACTAAATCTCTCTCTCTCTCTCTCCCTCCTCCCTCCTCCCTCTCTCCCTCCACCTCTCCCCTCCCCCTCCCCCTTCTCTGTGTGTATGTGTGTGTGTGTGTGTGTGTGTGTGTGTGTGTGTGTGTGTAGGGGTATGGAGAGGAGAGAGGGAGAAGAGCAAAGAGAGTATCTGGGAACCAAGAGACCAAGAGGGCTCATAGCTAACTGTTAGGTTATATAGGGTTTAGGGGAAGGAGAGGGGTAGAAGTGCTGGGGGGTGGGTGGATGGGAACCACCAATGCTGGGTGGGACTTGTTCCAGGTTTCTTTGAGACCTGACAGATTCTAAAGGCTTCTTCTCACCATTAGTGGTGTTTTATGAAGGCCTATATCTATGCTTGCATTCTGGAAGGAAGAGCAAAGATATTTACATCTATTTTACATTGCTTGCTTTGGAAATAAATTTGAATTAAAAGCAATAGGTGAGCATTTCATGGTCTTTGGGACGTATCTGTTGGACATTAAGGAAGAAATAAATGTCAAGTTTAAACAAACAAACAAACAAACAAACAAACAAAAGCCCGAGAGGGATCAGAGGAAGGCGTGAGCATGTCTTGAACTGGGGCTGTACTCAGCCACATCAGGGCATAGAAAAACTTGGTCAATCGGCTTGGTCAATTGGCAGGCTTGCTGCCTGCCCAGCGAGAGGTGGTGGCCGCGGTTGACAGCTGTGCCTGGAGCGGGAGAGGAGGAGCTGGGGGCGGGACAGCCTGAAAGGGGGCCACTTCTGCGGACCTGCAGGATTTCCGTTGAGATCCCGGAAGAAAGCCATTCCTGCCACTTTAATCTCGTGATCCTTAGCTGTGCAGCACTGGAAACTGCAGCGGGATCTAGCAAAATATGGCTGCCGAGGACCCCGCCACGCCACGAGTCCAGGTGGCAGAACAGCCCAGGTGGGGGAGAGGCGTGGCCTGGGATCCCGGGGCTGGAGAGGTGCGCAGGGCGCTCATTGCTTTAGGCGGCTTCTTCTGAGTCACCGGTTGTTGTTGTGTTGTTGTTGTGCGTGTGTTTGTGTGTGTCTCCCTGGAGGCAGATACTTCTGAGACACCGGCTGGCGTGTGTGTGTGTGTGTGTGTGTGTGTGTGTGTTTCCGTGTTTCCATGGAGGCAGACAGAACCTTTAGGATTCTAGACGCCTAGGTCTCAAGACACTGCGCCAGGGGTTGTATGTGTTGCTTCACACGGAGGCCTTTGCCCTTTCTTGGCGAAGGATTCAGTAAAAATGCCCAGGTCTACCTTGAACTGCACGTAATCTTGTCTGTCAAGTGATAGTGCTTTTCCAAGTTTCTTCCTATCCAGTTATTTTTGTGTCTCTGCATCTTTGACAAATCCGAGCACCTCTAAACTGTCATCAAGGAACTAATTTGTTGCCAGTTTCTAGCTACAGAACTACCAATTCTTTTTTGATGTGAAATGGAGGGCCTTTTTAAATTACAGATACTTTGTAGAAATACTTTGTTCTGGTTTCTGGAGCTGAAATCTCACAGGAGCCTAGTTCACTTGCTGTTCTGTTAGCCCGAGGGCTTCTCTGAGGTTGATGGCCTTTGAGTGTAACTCTTCCCTGCTCCTCCTCCTGTTTTGGTTGATGAGACTGTATTTTCATATGGCTTGAAAACTGCTCCTTCCTGGGCAAGTCAGCAATCGATGTATCATTAGTTGTCGGGAAACACACACACACACACACACACACACACACCTTACTTTAGAGACATTTTGGATTACTTCTGGCTGTCATTGAATGTGTTAAGATTCTCTGAGGTGGTCATCGCACAGTGTGGTTGTTTTTACATATTCAGTGAATGAGAGACTACTTACTTCAAATGACTCCTGAAAAGAAATCCACCCCCTTGGTAGTGTAGTCTTGTACAAAACATGTTTAGGAATAAACTTGAAATATGATTTTTTTTTTTTGAGCCAGGATCTTACTACGTAGTTCTGGCTGGCTTGAACTAGCCCAGCTTGGAGAGATTTGCCTGCCTTTGCCTAGGACTAAAGATGTGTGCCACCACACCCAGCCTATTTTACATGATTTGTTTCCATAAAGATTACTTTCCGTAGTTATGCAGAGGGGAGGATGTTGCTAGTAATTACAGCTCCCTGGCTCAAAGAGGAGTTCTGATGGCCGGATTCCTGTAGTGCTCTTTCATGCCTTTCATGGTTATTACAGGATTTATTCACACAACAACTATTTAATGTTACCTTATTTGTGTTAGCGCCAGGAAAGGCCATAGTGGTCGTGTAAGCTATGCTTTCCTGCTGTTTGTTTCCCAACTTATTGTCAGGAATTTGTTTTGAGATAGTGTCTCTATGATCCAAGGATGGCACTGAACTCTTGATCTCCCTGCCTGCACTTCAAGTATACAATTACGCTCATCTATTGCTTTGTACTTGTTGTGTACAGTTATTAGCTTCACACATGTTTTACAGGAATATTTTAGAGCATCCTATTTTAGAAAGGGTGAGACTTATTGAATCTAGATGATGTAATCTACAAATCTATCAAGTGGTCACATGGTGCAATTCATTGCTACCCTAAGGGGAAATTGGATTCTTGTGGAACTCCTGATCTTGGTTGAAGATACCACTTTAATTTCGCAGTAAACCAGATCCTCCAAGTAAAGACACTAGGCAACCAGATTTCACTTCTACCTTTCTTTGTAGTGGTATGTCTTTTCTTTAAGATTAAGTTTTAAATTGTTAGGCTGGCAAGGCATGATGGTGTATGCCTGTAGTTCCAGCAACTGGCGGGAGAGGTAGGAGGGCAGCGTACATTGAAAGCCAGATGGACTCTATGTCCTGTCTTAGTTACTCTTCTATTGCTGTGAAGGGACACCTTGGCCCAGACGACTTATTGAAGAAAGTTAATTTTGGAGCTTCCAGTTTCAGAGGTTGAGTCCTTGGTCATCATGGTGGGGAGCATGGCCCTGGAGCAGTGCTGAGAGCTACTTTTATACATACCTGCCCTTCTCCAAAAGCACTGGGCAGAGGGAGCTAGCTGGAAATGGCATGGGCTTTTCAAACCTCAAAGCCTGCTCCCAGTGTCACAACTTCAACAAGGCCACACCTCCTGGACAGTTCCACCCACTCAGGATCAAGTATTCAAGCTTGAATAATTATAATAATTATATTTGCTGTTCTGTCATTTTTTATCTAATCTTTCTCAAAGTTTCTGCCTTATTGGTCCATATAGAAAGATTTTGCTGTACAATAAATACATAGTTCTTTAAATATTTGTATGGGTATTTAAAAATATTTTTATCCTCTGAGAAGTTCACACATGTATACAATATGTCTTGATGATATTCACCTACTCTTTCCTTTCAACTCCCCCCACATCCACCCTCAGCCCCCTCGTAGCTTTTCTCCTCTGTCTCTGTTATAGCCCACTGGTTTGTGGTGTTTATGTATGCCTGGGTGTGCATCGGTTCCCTGGACTGTGACTGACCTACCAGGGGCCACACCCTCAAAACAGACTGACTCTCCCTCCCAGCAGCCATTAACTGTCTACGGTTCCTCAGGTAGGGATGAGGGACCATGATCCTTTCCCTCCTTAGTGGAATCTTGATCTTACATAGACAGCTGCAGCGGCTGTGAGTTCATGAACGCATTGGTCTATTTTTCTTAATTTTCATTTCTTTTGAGATCATCCTACATTGGTATATTTTTGTATATCTGTAATTTTGGATGGAAGCCGTGAGTTTGACATAGTACAGCTCCTGCTTGAACTTTATAGTGTCTTTTGCTCTGCAGATGTGACTTATGTAGTGCAGTGCAGTGTAGGCAATGGTGAAGATTACAGCTTTGTCTTAAGCCTGGTGTTAATGGAAAAGCTTTAAAAAAAATTACTTTGGTGTGTATCAATCAGTGTTTGGCCTGCATGTATATGTGTGCACCATGTGCATGCCTAGTGTTTGTAGAAGTCAGAAGAGGGGTTTGGATCCTCTGAACTGGAGTTACAGATGGTTGTGAGCTGCCAGGTAGGTGCTGGCAATTGAACCTGGGTAGAGCTTTAACTGCTGAGCCCTGGGAAAGCTTTAATGAGTATACTTCTTATATTTTACCATCAAATGTGGTGTTTAATATTTCTGATAAATACTTTTTAATAAGTTAAAGACATTTCTTTCTTTTCTATCAGTATTAAGGATTTAAACTATTAACACACAAATTATAAATAATGGCTTTCTTTATGACATTTTCATACATCTACTAATGTATTTTGGTTATCTTCCTCCTCCCTCCATTCCCTTCCTATTCCACTGCAGCACTAGTAAGCTCATCTTCCCTGGTTGGTCAGTATTGTTATATACAGGGTCCACAGCCGTGATGGTTTGTATATTCTGGGTCCAGGGAATGGCACTATTAGAATGTGTGGCCCTGTTGGAGTAGGTGTGGCCTTGTAGTAGGTGTGTCACTGTGGGTGTAGGCTTTAAGACCCTCATCCTAGCTGCCTAGAAGTCAGTATTCTGTTAGCAGTCTTCAGATGAAGATGTATAACTCTCAGCTTCTCCTGAACCATGCCTACCTGGATGCTGCCATGTTCCCACCTTAATACTGGACTGAACCTCTGAGCCTGTAAGCCAGCCCCAATTAAATATTATTCTTTATAAGACTTGCCTTGGTCATGGTGTCTGTTCACAGCAATAGAAACCCTAACTAAGACACCAGCTAAGCGAGACTATTGACAACAAGTCTCCCCCAGCAGCTTGTATAGCACCTACTGGTGCTGGCACTGTGAGGGCTAATCAGCAAGGAGAAAGCTTTCAGGCAAGTTCCATCCTAGTTCTTCTATGTCCTGTATCAGGGTATGTGATATCTTTAGTAATAGGGTCTTACCCTGTAGTTCTGGTGGGGAAGGAACAGTAGTTTCAGGAGTCTGTGTTTAGAAGTCTCAGGTGCCTCCCTGAGCAACACCTCCTATGGAGAGAGTCTGCCCTGGCTATGGAATTTTCACTGAATAAACCTGTGATTTCTGGGACTAGTTTCGCCACTCATGCAGGGTAGTTTAAAAAGTAGATTTTTGTTATTATTACTAAAGATGTAATCATATAATAGTGGGTTTCATTAGACTTTATTAGAGGTAGTGACAGCAGTGGTTATTTAGTGTTTTATTGGATGACTTTAATGATACACTCTAATGCTCTGTGCCAGCTCCACTCTACAGAGAAGGTTGCCCTGACATCTCATAAATCTACATGACTATAAAGGGTTTTACTCTCTTCTAATCATGTTCATCCCCCAGTATCCTATCTCTTCTCCTGTCCTCTATCACCCATCCCTTCCTCTTCTTCTTCCTCTTCTTCCTTCTCTTCCTCATCTTTGTCTTCTTCTTCTTCCTCCTCTTCTTTTTCTTCTTCCTCTTCCTCCTCTTCTTCATTCCTCCCCTCTTCTTCCACCTCCTTTTCCTCTTTCTCCTCTTCCTGTTCTTTCTCCTCCTCTTCTTCCTCTCCCTCCTCTTCTTCCTCCTTCCCTTCTTTTTCTTCCTCTTTCTCTTCCTCTCCCTCCTTCTCTTCTCTTTTTCATCCTCCCCTCTTCCTCTTCTTCTTCTTTCTCCTCTTCCTCCTCTTCTTCTTTCTCCTCCTCCCCCTCCTCTTCTTCTTTCTCCTACTCTTCCTCTTCTTCCTCTTTTCTTTCTTTCTTCTTCCCACTTCTACTCACTGTCAATTTTTCTGTTGTTGCCTACTCTCACTAGAGTTGCTTCCTGGAGCATGCATGGGAGTCAGGCTGTTCACAGAAGCATGGGCATTTTATCACTGAAGAAAGTGTCTCTCTTTAACAATCGTTACTCACCTCAGGGAACGGTGGAGCACCATGCTCCTACTTCTAGGGCATGGTGTAGAACAGGCACAATCTTGGCAGATTAGGCAAGTAAGCATCCTTGTTGTTAGTGCAACCTTCTCTGTGAGGTGGGGCAGAGCAGGCACTCAGCACTGAGGTTAAAAGCATCCAGTGAAGCACCTATGTGACCACTGTCTCTATCACCTCTAATGAGTTCTCATTTACATCCTGCAGAATAGGAATGGTACTGAGCCCAAGAACCAGCCAACAATAATGTAACCATTACTAAACACATACTCCATGGCAATGCTGGGCTAGACACTAGGCATGTATTACCTCCTTTAATCCTCTTGCAACTCTATGGGACACACAGTTGTTCCCTATTTAGAGGAGAGGGAGGTTAATGAAATTCACAATATGGAGACAACAGATTTAGCCTATTTCTGCCCTAATGAATCAGCCATGGTCTTCCCAGCATAACTTTTTTTCTGTGTGATTTATATGCATCTGGACTACACTTAAAACATCACTGCTTTGTCCATTTTAGTTTATTGTATAACAGTTCTTCTTGCCTATTTAGCAGCCAGTGTGCTCATTCCTCTCTCATTTTCCATCCTCACATTTGGTAGATTCTTTTTTTTTTTAATATTCATTTTGGAGTGTGTGTGTGTTGGGGGGAGCACTTTATTTGGCTTATAGGTAACAACCCATCATCGAGAGAAGCCAAGGCAGGAACTGAGACAGAACCATAGAGGAGTGCTGTTATTGGATCCCTCCTTCCCTTCTTTCCTCCCTCCTACTTTCCATCCCTCCCTTCCTCCTCCTTTCTTCCTTCCTTCCCTCCTTCCCTCCCTGTCTTCCTTCCTCCCTCCCTTTGTCCTTTCCTGCTTTCTCCCCCTTTCTACTTAAATTATTGGTAAAGTTTGATATTCTGTGTTCTCTAGTTACAGTGAAGACAGACTTCTTGTGAAGTTTTATATATTTTGCAAGATGTGTACAAGAGAATCAGATTTAAGTAGCCATCTTGTCTACATACATCTTGTGGTCCAGGTTTTTTTTCTTTTTAACTTTTGTTTTTTTTTCCATGCTGGAGACCAAACCCAGGCCTTTTTACATATTGAGCAGAGAGAGAACCTTTAAACCCAGTACCCACTTCTTGAGTGGATGTTAGGGGAGTTAACGATCATAACCTACTGAAGTCTCTGTTGGAACTAGAGCTGCTGCTGAATGAGTGGGTCAGAGTGATCATACCCATACTAAAATAAGTGATATTATTATTTTTTTTGTTTTTTTGAGACAGGGTTTCTCTGTATAGCCCTGGCTGTTCTGGAACTCACTTTGTAGACTCAGCTGGCCTCGAACTCAGAAATCCACCTGCCTCTGCCTCCCAAGTGCTGGGATTAAAGGCATGCGCCACCACTGTGACCTTATTTGACCCAAACAATGGGAACAGGACAAATACAGGATTTAAACTTCCAAACATAGACTTTGAGAATTTAGACTAGAAAATATGAATTTATGAGACAGATAGTAGAGGACCCTGGAGTTTCTGAGTCTTGTAGAGTCATGTCATGGAGAGCTAAGGTACGGAGGAACAGAGGTGAAGGAGGTGCAGAGTAGAGTGGCAGGTCAGGACCAGTGATGGTGTCTTTGGAGGGATGAGAGAATGGGTCTGGAGGCTCAAACACCAAAGACATCAGTGTAAACAGATTTTTGGCTTACTTCAGATTTCCAGGAGGCCAGCTTGAGTCTCTTCCAATATGGTGTGTCCTTTCACTCCTGGAAAGTGTACGTGTGTGTGTGTGTGTGTGTGTGTGTGTGTGTGTGTTACCTGCACGTGCACTCTGTCTGCTGTACTCTCTACTCCTGCATGGAGTTTCTGATATATGCTATTTTGAGATATTTCACTCCTGTTTTTCAGATTGCTGAAGCTAAAAGAGATGTTTAACTCTAAGTTTGGGTCCACACCCAAGTTTTATGTTCGAGCCCCAGGAAGAGTCAACATTATAGGTATTCTGAATTTCTTTTTTTTTTTTAATTTATTTTTTTCTCAAATCGTAATTCATTCACACAGGGGTTATAAACACAGAAAGGCAGGATGTGGGGAAGGGAATGACAATGGGTGTGGGTGTTCAGGGGGAATACAGATATCTTCAGAACCGGGTATTGGCTGGGTGAAGGTTCAGGGGACAAGTCACTATGACTCTGCCTATGACTCGTTTGTCCTTATCTAAGTTTGTATTGTCTGCTAAGGCTACCTATTTACAAGGTCTATGACTACTCAGGCTTGTAGATTTCCACAAAAGCTACCTGTTTACATTAGCTTATAGCCATCTGTTTCAATGTTTTTCCACTGAGACCCAAGACTTGGTGTTAGTATACATGTATGACAGGCCTATTGCTAATTTTAGGCCTATGGCTGATTTTAGGCCTTAAGTGTGTAAGCAGGGCTGCCCCTGACATCTCCCTTCTCTAAGTATCTGAATTTCTTATTTTAATTTTCCCTGACTCCTCTGGTGGTTTGTATTTTCCAGGTTTTTTAGGTGTATTTGTGTTTTGCTTTTGTTTCTTGTGATTTTTTTTTTTTACATTTTAGTTTTAAGTAGCAGATTTTAGCAACTTTGTGTACAATCTGTCTTCATAAATGTATAATGGTTGCTGGGCAGTGGTTGCACACACCTTTAATCCCAGCACTTGGGAGGCAGATGCAGGCAAATTTCTGAGTTCAAGGCCAGCCTGGTCTATAAAGTGAGTTCCAGGACAGCCAGGGCTACACAGAGAAACCCTGTCTCGAAAAACAAAAACAAAACAAAAATATATAATGGTGGATATAGTTTTAGATTGTATACCAACTTATTTGTGTGTTTAATATATCATAAATATTTTCTTACACTTCTGAAGAGGTTATAATTATTATTTTAATGTTTTAGAATATTCTATTAAGATGGTATTTTGTAATTTACTTAGCCATTTTCTTTTATTATACATGAAGTTATTTCTAGTTTTCCCTTGGTGTAACCAGGAGCTTGAGTGTCTCCCAGTGGAGAGGAGTAGGTAGATACAAGATTTCAACTTTACAACAGATTTAGTCTCATTTTCTTCTTTAATTTCTTGTGTATGGCTTCACAGCAGACTTCATAAAATTTCTTCCAAGATAAGTCTTATACTTTATTTAGAATGTATTTCCCGGGGAGAGAAAATAGAGAAAGCTTTTTTTTTTTTTTTTTTTGGTCCTTTTCATGCTCAGCTGGGCTCTTGTCAGACTGAGTTTCAGTCTAGTGTTTCCTCTGTTTTGGATAGTTACCTTGTCTGGAGAGCAGGTGACTTTTCAAAGAAAGGTGTTTGGATGTTTGATGTTCATTGAGAAAGACATGGAGCTGAAGATACACATTTAGATCCATGGCAACTAGCTGAGACTTGAAGTCCTTGGAATAGACTCATTGCTTAGGGAAAGTGAATGGAGGATGTTTTAACATACTGAGAAGATAATAATAGATTTGTTATCCTTCATCCCCAGTGAAGAGTTCCTGTTCCCTTCATCCCTCACTTGGGATGAGTTTGTTTGTTTTTGGTTTTTTTTTTGTTAAATACATTTTTGACAAAGGAAAGCGTTTTCCCTCTCAGCAGGCTGCCACCATGCTGCAGTCTTCCAACAGAATGGGTGCCCTCTCCTCAGATTTCAACATGTGTTTCTTACTCGGTTCATATTCCTGTCCTCTTGATAATTGGGTAGAAATGTAACTGTAAATGAGTTCTTCACCTGGGATTGTTAAACCATAAAAAGCCTTTATTATCTTGTTCTTAAGAGAATATCAACCCAGAAGCAAAAGCCTTGTCAGCTGTAACAATTTGTGGGAGAAAAATAGAATTATGAGGCTGAATTGTCATCTTCTAATTTCATGTTTCCTTGCTGGTTAAGATCTGCTAAAGGAATGATGAGATATGAAAGTCTGTACCAGGAACTCCAGTGAGATGTTAGCCAGCTTGACAATTTATAGCATGTCACATGATATAAATTTGGAAAAATGATTATTGTCAATTAAAAATTATAAAATTGGAAAAATAAGTTTAAGATACAAAGAAACCTCCAAATTAACAAAATCAAACTAATTACTATGGTTAGCAGAAATTTCTGACTCAAAATGTTTGGTAAAAAGGAAACTGAATATCTGTCCACCCATAGTGTTTTACTTTCTATTAAACTGTGGCCATAGTTTTCCTGTGTGTTAACTGTCCATGCAAGATTCATAGCTTTTCACCTGAAAAGGGATAAGAATTTATTTTGGAGCCAACCATGAGTGACATGGCTTGAAAACAGATACAGTTTACTTACTCTAACCTCACAGTCCAGCACGGAAACACTCTTGAGAGGTTTTATATTAACAGAACAAGGAAACCACGCAACAAGACACTTTTCAGATACATCAGTGAAAATATCAGGCAGGTGGGTAACAGCAATGTAGAGAAGTCTCAGTTTTAGGCAGCAGATGTTACCTGATAGCACTGCTAGCCTTTGGTTGGTGGAGGCTAGAGGGTCTGCTCTCATATCCTGAAGGATTTACCAAGTAGCTGCAAAGACATATAGAGCAGTATGTAATGAGTGCCTGCTAAGGGGGTTAAAGATGCTTGAGATCACCTGACTTACGACTTCCCAGATTCTACAGTCACTGAGTATCCACTCAGTCAGTCAGCCCTGAAGCTCCCTGGAAGCCTTGCTTCTCTCCAGCAACTGTTGTTCACAGAACTTAGTTGAGTTTCTTTTCTTTCTTATGCTAACATGGATAAAACCTACGTTCCCTTTTTAGGTGAGCACATAGATTACTGTGGATATTCCGTTATTCCCATGGCTGTGGAACAAGACATGCTAATAGCCGTGGAACCTGTGAAAACACACACTCTTCAACTGGCCAATACAGACCCTTTGTATCCGTGAGTATTTAGAATTGCTGGTGGGTACAGAATGTGTGTGTGTGTGTGTGTGTGTGTGTACGTACATGCACGAATGCTTGAGTGCATGCATAAGCATGTAGTAGTGTGTTTTGAATGAAGATAAACTTTAGAAAAATACTGGATTCCAGTTAAATCATCTACCTGATTGATATTTCCTGCCTGACATTTACCAGTGTCCTGGTCACTATTTACTGTGTGTTTGTGTGTTCATCTGCTCACTCACTGAGGCAATGCTTACCAACCAGCAAGATGGCTCAGGGCTGTTGAGTGCCTTTACCTGATTTGATCTCCAGAAACCCATATGATAGAAGAGAGCCAAGTCCTGCAGGTTATTCTCTGATCTACACTTGTGGCATACATTATCATATATATATATGTGTGTGTGTGTGTGTGTGTGTGTGTGTGTATACACATACATATGCCCACACTCTTTCTCACACATATACAGTAAATAAATACATGAATTAATAAATAAGTGTAAAAAAGGAAGCTTTAACTGGAGAGTTGCAATATACCAGACACTGTTTCAAGTTTTCAGTTATACAAACAAGAAAATAATTTTATTCTTGCCCAGACATTACTGATTATCTGCTGGGATTACTGTTTCAATAAGGTCACCTGTATGCTATCTGTTCTTCAATACTATGGCACTGCCTAATTCTCTTGTCAGAGAATCTTACCATGATACACAATCATTGCTTACATACCTGTATCCCTCGTAGGTTTAAGCACTATGATTTTATGTTGTGTTGTCTGTTTTCTCCAAAGCCTTAGTCTCAGTATAATACAATATGAAGTAAAATGAATGTTTGTAGTACATAAGTGTTTAATTTTCTATAATGTTAAGAAATCACTTATGTGTATTGAATTGTATTAAATATCTGTTTAGTCATCATGGTCATCTTTAAACACATGGTGGGTAACTTTGGAGGATTTTTCAATGCTGAACGAGCTTTGCTTTTTCTGCACAAGCTTTACTTGTACAGCCTGGTACCACACAACAGTATTTTGGTGAGTGATGGCTCACATATAGGGTGATGGCCCAATGGGAAAAGCTCATATATGTGGCTGAAAAACTGCTGCTGCTTATAGTATTTGCATTTTAAGCCAAGAGTTACTTACTACAAAAGAGTTAAATGTTTCAACAATTAAAATGTTTATAAATGCTTGTTTATAAAATCTAGAGTCATGTGCAGAAAGTAGCCTTGGCTTCCACATTCATTCACTTGCCTACAACTTTCTGTCCTGTGTATCTTTATGTTAAGTGCCCTATGTCAGTGTGCTGGTTTCAACTGCTTACACTTTTTGTTTGGATAGGTTCAGATACACAAATACTACCATTGTGTTATAGCCAGCCACCATGTTCAGTATTGCCTTAGTCACTGTTGTGTTGCTATGAAGCTACGCCTTGACCAAGACATATTAAAGTATTTAATTGCTGGGCAGTCGTGGCACACGCCTTTAATCCCAGCACTTGGGAGGCAGAGGCAGGCGGATTTCTGAGTTTGAGGCCAGCCTGGCCTACAGTGTGAGTTCCAGGACAGCCAGGGCTACACAGAGAAACCCTGTCTCGAAACACACACACACACACACACACACACACACACACACACACACACACAAAGTATTTAATTGAGGGCTTGCTTACAGTTTTGCAGGGCTAAACTGAAACTGCAGGGACTGTGGGGCCATGAAAGCAGGCATGGTCCTGGAGAAGTAGCTGAGAACTTTACATCCTGATCTACAGGTAGCGGATTGGGGGTCCGGGGTGGAGAGACATTGGACCTGGCAGAGGCTTTTGAAAATTCAAAGCCATGCCTCCTCCAAGGCCATATGTACTCCAATAAGGCTATACCTCCTAATCCTTCCAACAGTTCATCCACTGGAATTGAAATGGGGTGTGTGGTATTTACATTAAACCACCACAAGTATAATAGCATGCTGTATATGTTTGTAATGGTTAATATCCCAAACACATATGTGTGTAGCAGGCTACACCATCTATGTCTGTATAAGTATGCTATACTCTATATTGTTTATACAATGACAATATTAGCTAATTATAAGTTTTATACACTATATCCCTGTTATTAAATTCATGATTATATTATGTATTTGATTTGCAAATTACAGAAGAAGATATAGTTGTCACATTTTACATAGTCATTCTGTTTCTATATCTTGGTCACTGAGTAAGCTGACAGTGAACATGGGAATAGCAGATGTTTCTCTGAGATACTGATTTCATTTCCCTTGAGTGTATACACCAAACAGAAGGATTCTTGGATGATATGCTAGTTCTGTTTTTAATTCTTTGAAGAAACAACACACTGTTTTCCATAATGGTTGCACCAAATCACATTTCTGCCAACAGTTCAGAAGTGTTCACTTTTCCAAAACTCTACCAACACTTATCTTACTCATACTAGATGCCATTATTGTAAGATTAATACTTTTTCAGGGTATTACCTTGTGTGTGTGTGTGTGTTCCTTATGTTACTGCATTGGGATTTATGCATTTGATGTTATTTGCAGGGTTTTTTGTTTTGTTTTGCAGCTATATTCTATTAGTTGAAGTATTTGCAATAATCAAGTGGGACTTGAATGTGGTAGAGATGAATGTATGATTTAGAACATAATTCCTTAGCCCAGGAACTTTCTATATTTTTCTGAGTGAGATATTAACTGGGAAAACAACCAGAGCTGTTTGATGTCACTACTATATACTGCCAAACTAGCATAGTGTGTTTTGATTTTAACTAATGCAGTTAGGAGATAGATGAAAGCAGCCCTAGGAGGGAAGATTAAAGCTATAAGTCCATATTAAAATCAGAGAGGGGCCAGGGAAATGGCTTAGTGAGGAAAAGGATATACTAGCAAACCTGAAAACCTGAGGTCTCTCTGGGACCCATGTAGTAGAGGGTGAGGACTGACTCCCACCAGCCTTTGATGTCACACATGCTATGATATATGGACACACACACACACAGACACAGAAACACACACACACACATACACACACAGAAAGAAAGAGAGAGAGGGAAAATCAATAAATAAATTAATTAAAAAGATCAGTTCTCAAATTATTAACTTAATAATTCACCTTAGGGCCTTAGAAGAACAAGAACAAGCACCATCAAAAATCAGTAGATTGAAAGAAATAATTATAATCAAGGAAGAAATTAATGAAATAGAATTTTAAAAATATAATGAATTAATGAAACAAAGAGTCAATCCTTTAAAACGATGAACAAGATCAATAAACTCTTAGCCAAATTAGCTGAAAGAAAGAGAACAAAGGCCCAGATTAATGAAGGAAGAGATGAAAAGGGAGACTTGGCAGTAGATACCTATGAAATTCAGGAAATTGTTATGATATATTTTAGAGCTCTTATATTTTATGATGTTGGAAAAATCTAAAAGAAATGAATTTCTAGGTGCATATAATCTACCATATTAAATCTAGATGAGATTGTCTTACAGAGGTTAATAAACAAACAATGAGATTCAAGCAACAACTAAAAACAAAACAACAACAGAAAAACTTCAACTGAACAAAAAACATTTTCAATTAGAAAAAAAATCCAGGCTTTGGAAAGGCCTGTTGCTGAAGATACAATATACTTGTCACAAGACAGAAATAACATTGGTTCTGATCAGGAAACTTCCTCCCTGTTGGCGAACTTTCATGGTTGTAGGAGATGCTGTGTAGGATACTAGGGAAAAACACTCATCAACAGTCTTACCCAGCTGTGAACCCTGTGAACTACTGGTGTGGAAGAATATGCCCATGGGTGGAATAGTGGTATAAATGTTATAGGGATAACCGCAGTGGTCCCCTGAGATTATCTTGGATAATCCAAAAACTCACAGGTGATCAAAGTACAGAGAAGAATCCCAGTGGATAGTTACAAATGGGACATTTACATCACACTTGCCTACCCAAGGACCATGGCAGAAGAGAGGGCAGAGAGATCGGAAGAGCCAGATACTGGAGAGGACTGGAGTGAAAAGGTATCATATTCTGGATGTGAGAGGACTGCCATGTTCAGGAGCACACAGTAGATGTGCTTGCCTCTATAGGGTGAAGCTAGTCAATATTCAAGCATGGATCAGAGGGGTGAGCCCCTCCCTCTAACTGAAGACATCTGATGGTTTCTCGGGGAAAGAGTGTCAATTTTCTTTAAGGATATGGCCCATGGGAGGTTGACTGTGCTCCATGAATGGCCCCCACACCATTGAATATATGGGAAGCACAAACTAGACTTGGTGGGTTATTAAAAAAAGGACACAAAATTAGGTGGTACTGGGGAGGTGAGGGTGGACCTGGGATGAGTTATGGAGATGTGTGAGGAAATGAATATGATCAAAATACATTGTATGAAATGCTCAAGGAATTAGTAGAACTATTACAAACAGTTCAGGTCTACAACTTTTCACCCCTGAACTCTACCAAACCTTTAAGAAGAGCCAGCATGGATGCTTTCTATTCCAGAAAATAGAAAATGAAGGAGGAGGGAAGCCCAAAGTGTTAGGGAAGGCATGTGTGGAACAGAGATAGGAGGAGAGGAGAGTTAGGCTTTTCTGAGGAATTCAGAGAAGCAGACCAACCTGCCAAACCAGTCACTTTCTAACATAAAGTTCCTATTTTCTTCTTCCAATGAATAAGTGGCTGCTGGTGATACTGGGGTAATGTGTAGACACTATGTAAATATCTTGTTTTCATCAAGTTCTTACTTTAGACGTCTGCTGGTGAAACCGTTAGCATGGAATTCACATGCAGTACTTTTTAATTTTCATTATTTCTTTGATATTGGTTAATTGACATACTTTATTAATATTCTCTCTCTCTCTCTCTCTCTCTCTCTCTCTCTCTATTTCTCTCTCTCTCTCTGTGTGTGTGTGTGTGTGTGCACGCGCGTGCGTGTGTGCGTGTGATGTGCATGCATGGCATATATTCTATAGCACATTTGTGGAAATCAGAGGACAGCTTGTGGAGTCAATTCTGTTTTTCTTCATGTGGGTTCTAGGGATCAGGTTAGCATCTCACTGAGCTTGGCATTTTATTATGAAAAATAATTTCCCTTTTTCTTCATTTAGCTGCTTATTCACTTGTAACTTTATATCAATGTAGACTCACAATGGGTCATGACTCTTTAAAATAAATTTTGTTTGGTTATTTATTTTTCTGAAATCATACAGATGGTCAGATTAGATGGATATCAGAGAACATGGAGAAAAGAGAACTTGGAGTACTTCCATTTCAACTGGGGATCTGCCTGGTAGCAGGTGCAGAGGACAAAGCATTCATGGGGCTTACACTAGCTAAGAAGCACTAACATTAAAGAGAAAACTAATGGAGATTATGCTAAAGTATTCTGTTTCCTATCTGTTTCTGGAAATAAAAAGGGCTAGTTAGAGGTAGATTAGTCAGTAAGGCTACTACAATTTCCTCTCCTAGTTTTTAGCATCTGGAAGTGTTCACTGTTGGAATCTGTGAGATACACATTTAAGTAAATAGAAAAGGAGACTTGGTATCGTTGGCCTGTCACAAGAGGGCAGCAGTCAGCCATTGATTTTTTTTCTTTTCCTCTGAAGGCATACAGACTTAAATTAATGTTATTTTTTTTTCAGAGACTTTAGTACTACAGCTAATAACATCTGTATCGACAAGACCAAACCTCTATGGCACAACTACTTCCTATGTGGATTTAAGGGAATTCAGGTAAATCCACACCTATTAGCCGTTGAGATTACAGTTACGGTTTTCCAGATTAACTCTGCCATGTTTTTGGTCTCCTTTTAGTATTGATGCTCTTCTTATACTTTGCTGACTTCTGCTTCAGAAGGTGGGGGGTGGGGGTGGAGATTTGATTGTCTCTGAGTTGTGTTCACAGGGGTGGTCATAGTCTTTCATTTAACTGGCTATGTATCATTAAATACACCTTGAAGAGAGATTGTCCTAGTATTTACATTCTGTTCTTGGGGTGTACAGGAGTTTACTGGAATGGAACTTAGCATTCAGCACCCATGGGTTTGAATATGGGCATGATCCAGTTTTGCTAATTTGAGTTCGATTTTAGCTTTATCTGTGAAATGTCACTGCTTTTCAATATAGAGTGGCTGCAGGGCGTCACTTTGCTGGACCCTTAGGCATTTGGGAATGGCAGCCAGCATTTTTACTGCTTGTTCAGGTGAGAATAAAAGGGTTGTAGTAAAGGTATTACTGTGAGTAGTTTCCCAGAAACATTGACTTAATCATAGTGTCAAAACGTCAGTGCTGTATATAAGAATAGGACTGTGGTATATCTCCACTTTCTCTCACAATTAGGAGAGTAGGAAGCACAGAGAGAAAACCAGTACTTGCTGTTTTCAGAACCACCCCTGTGTTTCTTTTTGTATTCTTAACTTTATTTTCTAATAATTATAAAACCAGTCTACCTATTTTATGCCTGTGGGTGCTTTGCCTGCATGTATCTGTGCATCATGTGGGTGCCTGGTGCCCACAGAGGCCACAGACTGTTGTCAGCCACCACATGGGAACTGAACCCAGGTCCTCCTCTGTAAAAGCAACAGATGCTCTTAACCACTGAACCATCTCTCCAGTCTATTAACTTTTGTTTTTTAAATTAATATTCTTTCAATAATTATTTTAGTTGTAGTGAGTCTTGTAACATCATAGATTAAGGATATTAAGAAATTTTTTTTTGTCTTCGTGATTCAAAAGGAAACTAGTAAACATACCTTTCTGTTTGTTTGTTTATTTGTTTGTTTTGAGAACTTATGATCCAAGTGGCTTGGAGGTCCTATCTGAAATTGTCACGAGCAGCTTAGGATTCAGTGACATAGTTTTATAGAAGCCTGTCAGAGTAACTTGGGATGTGTAGTCCTGGGCTGCTGTCATGGAGGTCTGGCCTAGGAGTACAGCATTCATTTCTTGAGAATGTGGCTTTTTTTCCAGACACACGGTAATAACTTCTGGGAAAAGTTATTGGCCTGTTTTAAATCTTCAAATCATTTGGATTGTCATACATATTAGTGAGTATTTGGAAGCATTGGTCAGGCAAATGCAATCTGACCTTGCTTGCAACAACATGCCTGTTTGTACCATATAGTGACACCTCTCTCTCTCTCTCTCTCTCTCTCTCTCTCTCTCTCTCTCTCTCTCTCTCT